AACAAAGATCGAGCTCTCTCGTTGGAGTACCTCTTCCTCCTCCTCCTCCTCTTGCCGTCGTTTTCGAGGGAGGGAGGGTGAAAACAGCTGTGAAAACGCAGAAGAAGAAATTTAGAAGGGTTCAGATATTGTGAATCCTAAGGAGTTTATTATTGTTTGTTGCGTGATTGTGGTTTCAAATTTAGGGAGATTTTAATTTTGGGGGATTGTTGCATCAATGTGGTATATATACGAATATGCATATATATGCGTATAAACCCAATGTAAATTGGGGAAAATGAGGAATTTGTTGAATTGGTATGAATGGGTATTTGAAGGAAAAGGATTGGCTCCAGTTTTGTTTCTTGGAGTGCCTATACGAGCTGTCAAGACGAATCGTGGAGAGGAGAGAGAGAACGGAGAGAATGAAGAGAAAGAGAAGTGGTGGTGGGAGTGGTGAGAGGTGACCTGGTTGAGAGATGTGGTGAGAGTGGCCGAGTAGGGGTGGGACTTGGGTGGTCCAAGGGTTAGCCCACCTGTTCAAGGGTTAGCACACTTTAAACCTGATGAACCCATCGCATCTTAATCCGTGACAGCTGTTAACGAATTTTGAGTCTTTCGGTACCTACTTCCCTGACATGAAATAAAACTAAAAATAATGATAGAGACACGGAGCATTAATCTTGAGTTTACATGGAATGTTACGTGATTTTGGCCACGTCGTCCACTTAAATAGTTTACAAAAAATATAATTATATAACAAATGACAAGTAAATCCTCTATATTTATCCTTATCTTTATTTTATGTAAGTTCTTATATCATCTTCACTTATTCTCTGTTTTAATTTTTTTATCCCTCTCAAAATCTCTTTGTTTTTTCCTTCTTGGATTTGGGTTCTGTATTTCTCCTCCATTGGCTCTCTACAATTACCTTAGATTTAGAAATTCGTTTCTTCATTGGCTCTCTGCAATCACTTTTTTTTCCTCTCTAAATTTATCTCTTTCCCAGTGTGAATATGAATTTATCTTCTCCATCTCTTTGTTCTTCTCATCACCACCACCACCATTCCTTTATTTCACATCTCATATTTCTCCCTAAAATATCCAAATTTGTTTATACTCTACCATGCCACAACCTCGACCCACAACCATCATCATCTCTTTTCCATATTCCTTGAACAAGTCTCTTGCATTTGTCTTCTACACAAACCCTAATCTCTAAATTTCATCAAAATGGGTCTATTGATTTGTTATGGTGACTTATTAACTTAGTCATCGTCTAAAAAATAAGAGAAAGATGCTTATTCAAATTTTCACCATCTACTAAAACAAAAATTGAAAAAAAAAAAAAATATCATTAGACCATAAGGCCATTGATATATTCCTTTCAATTAAAATTTTAAAACAACTCAAAATCTCATATTCTTTGTTAACTTTCTTTTACAAAAATAACATATAATCTTACAAATTAAAAAATCATAATTTTTTATTATATTTTGAGTTCTTGGAATTGTTTGGATGAATTAAATATTTGTTCAAATCTGTCCAAAATAAATTCAAGATTTAAAGTGTAAATCGAGTCCTAATTTGATGGTCTAATATCTTGTCCATATCGGTAAAATATTTTACAAAATTTGTTGAGCCAACACTCAAGTTACTCTGGTTGGATCCATCCAAGTTCTAAACCTAATTGAGAGGAGAGATAAAGAAGAAGACAGAGAGAGAAGAATAAATATGACCCACGGGCCACGAGACGAGTGAACCATTAAAAAAAAAAAAAAAAAAACACTATTCCACCCATTACTTTTATTATTATTATTATTATTATTTTCTAGATGCCAAGCATAAGGCTTGAAAATTTGAAATGCATGGGAGATGTCCAATCAATCCCTATAAATAATTTAAAACAAATTGTATTCAAAGTATTCACCATCGATCTTATTGCTTCGAACAAACAAGTGGTACCATAGTTATTAAATTTACATGTGGTGCTGGCTTATGATAAATATCCTGTTTAACAAGTGTGATAAATGTTACACGAGAAAATGTAACCCGTTTATTTCTTTTATTTGTTGCTAGTTTAAAATCTAGACTTCGACTTTTTACTACCATGATGAACGCACTCCAAGCCTTTTCATTTCCGCTGCCAAAGTTTAGAGCTTGAAATGCAGCAGACCAGAACAACCGTCAAGCCCTTTTGCAAAGTAGTAGCTCACATATTCGCTCACGGTGGTTTCCCTATACTTTGGAGGATTCTCTTCCGATAACAGCTCTTTAATGGGTCCGTACACCTTTGAAGACCGCGACATACCAGTGCTGAAAAAGCACGCCACCGATAATCTTGGACCGACTTGATTTGCTAATACTCTATGTTCAACGCTTTTGAACTTGTCATTTGTTATAAGCTGAAAAAAAAAAATAAAACAAAGTAAATGACATTCGTCATTCTCAAATCTCAAGTTAGATTCATATTATGAACACACATTCTCTAAAATAGTATTTGTGCAAGACTGCTATTTCATTAAGACTATTGTGATAATCATAATGTGGTAACTAATAAACACCATAGTGCATATCAATTGCTATGATTTTAAATGAAACAATTAATCAGCAGAAAATCAACAAAATAATTAAAAAACTTGCCTGCAGAAGATCTCCAATATTGACCACTAGAGCTCCAGGGGTCGGCGGGACATCAACCCATTTGTTCTGATGAAGAACTTGAAGGCCTCCTATATGGTCCTGCATAAGCACAGTGAGGAAGCCGTCATCGGCATGCTTGCTGGCACCCAAGGTTAGTTCTGGTTGCGGGCATGCTGGATAATAGTGGCAGGCAACAGCGAGCCCCTTGGCGCAATCCATGTCTTTCAGGTGGTTGGGATTGAGCCCAAGAGCCTCTGACAATATCTCAAACAAAGCATACCCCAATTTCATCACTTCCCTCGAGTACTCTGATAGAATATCCCTGCAGGAAGTGTAATTAAGCACATAAAACAGTAGAGATGGAAAGCTTTTGGACAGTAAATCTCCGTGGGATGACAAATAACCTCTTTGATTCAAATACAAATATGTCACCATTTCATATTCAAACTTGAAAACACCCCTAATTAATCTATCCCATATAGGTTTACGCACAAAGTTTTTTGACAAGATTTCAACTTTCCTTGCTAAGAAAATTAACTGTGGATTTATATTAACTGGTCAAAATTTCCTATAGGCATAATTTCATTTGCAATCCAAGATCAATAAAATTTTAGTTTTCATTGTTTGCATGTTGTGAAATAAATGGTTTTTGAATTAAAAACTTCAATATCCCCGGTATATAATCATGAACAGAGCATTCTTAGCACATGGTAGTTAATATGTATGGAAATGTAATTAGTGAAGTGAATGCTGGTTCTACAACTAATGGTCTTGATCATCAATTCGAAAACAATTATACGTACTAATTATTCCCTAAATGTGCAATATGTTCATGCTTAATTACCTGCAAGCTGTGGGCAATTCTTCTGGTTTGGGAGGATTAGGAGCCATAAAGCAGTAACAGGTGTCCCTCCAGTTAGCTGCTGGTGCAGTATAAAAATCAAAATTGGTGTTATACACGAATGTTTTCATGGCATCTCGTGTATACCAGTGCTTCTTCACCTCAGTGTCTTGTTCGTAGAACCTACGAACACCGTCCATCATCTCCTCCAAAACGCTTACCGGAATGCCATGATTGATCACTTGGAAGAAACCCCATGTCCCTGATGCATCTCTGACTTTGTCAACTATCTCCTTGTGCCGGATTGGATCTTTTTCGATGCCATTGAGATCTATGGTTGGGAAACTGAATTGGGCTTTGCATGAGTTGTCAAAATTGGCTGGTGGATGAATGAATATCCGAGGAACTTTGGTAACCCCAGCATCAACTAGTCCTTTAACACCAGCTTTTGTGTTATCAAAAGCTTTCAATTCGCTCGTTCGGTCATAATTCAGATCAGTTGCAGCTTGAACTTCACCTGTGCTGCTCACCACCATTTTTCTTGTTTTTCTGAGGTATTCACGAATTTGATACAAAAAATAATAATTTTGCAATTAGAATCTAGACAAGAAAGAGGATTGTATAACAGGGGAAAGAGATGCCTTGTTGACTTTTAGGAATTGGGAGATGCAGTGAACCATAATGCAATCTAACAATAACATCGTCTGTAGCCGACTCAATTGATCAATGTTGATAAAGAAAGAGACGAGCAAAGCCAAAATTGTGGAGTTCAATAGTCAACCTTTCCCAATAAGGATGGGTTGTAGCAAGGTGATCTTACAGTAGAGGATTTGTGCACGAGATCAACAACCTGTGATCCATTCATTATTATTCTTGTCGGAAAACATGACCCACAAAAATATAAATATTTAAATAAAGATTGATGGGGACAAAATCTCCATTATTGCTGCTATAGAAATGTCCACAATTATTTTAGTTCAGATTTCTGCTTTAGTCTAAGATGAGTTATTTTAGGGGTATGCCTCCTTTTCTTGTATTTTATTGTTTTATTTTATAAAATCATCCCATTAAGGGGGAAAAAAAACAAAGAGAGAGAGAGTTATTATCTGCATAAAGTATGCTTTACCGCATATTACAGCAGTAAATTTTGTACCTTCGACAGTGTTGATGCTCATTGTTTATATATCTCTAGTTTGAAAAATTAGGTCATATGAAGTTCATATTCTCCATGCCAAACAACAATAATAACAGTAATACATGAAGAGACTTGATTTTCATATTATTGATATCAGCATTTGGCACGGAGGATATGAACTTCATTCTTTTTTAAGATTATGCCACTATAATCATCTGTTTCCTTTCCTACATAGAAGTCTAGATTTACAAGCAAGCATGATAAACGAGCTCTTAATATCAGCACATAAAACAGTGATACATGAAGATTCTTGATTTTCATATTATTGATACACATGGTCTGATATGCTACAAATTGTATTGACACAGTGAGACCACAAGTGAAGGTTCAAGGGAAGCTGACCCCAGAATCTCCATGGGCCTAGTTATGCAACTTGAAATGCAATAGTGCAGAGGTTCCATTGAGTCCTTTCTGGAAGTGGTGTGCGAGGAACTCATTTACAGTAGTCTCCCTGTAGATTGAAGGGTTTTCTTCTGATAGCAACTCCTTGATTGGTCCATACACTCTCGATGTAAACCCTTTTGGAAGATGTGTTCTGAAAAAACTTGCAACTGAAATCCTAGGGCCAATTTTTTTTGCCAGTACCCTGTGATTGACACTTTTGAACTTATCATTGGTGATGAGCTGCACAAACACAAAGACGAAAATAAATAAGATAATCTGGTTAGTCACAATTGTTATTGATAATGCGATTTAAGTTTTTTCTTGGATAAGAAAGTAGCATTTGAAGTGAGCAATAGTAAAAATGATAACAATTTGAGAAGAATGAATTACTTCATATATGAAGCATAGTCCAACAATATGCTCCACACAGAACATGCAAGTTTCTTGCTTGAAACAACAATAAGAATCCAAATGATATTAAGGGTTGCACGGTGATACTTGGGAGATACTCCAAAAAAACGTACCATTATACAAGCCTAGAAATTAGTAGGCAACAAACTTAAAGAGCCACTGCACAACAGTTAGGAGGCAACAAACTTTTGAGTTATCAGAAATATTAAGTCTTAAGCCATCAACTAATTTCCTCTTTAGAATACTCTAATGTGATTTTCTGTAACTATGCCTTTGAAACAGAAAAGAGAAAAGGCAAGAAAGAAAATAAAGTGATATGGTATATCAAAATTAGTAGAACATAGACTTGCCTGTAGAAGATCTGCAATATTTACTATGAGAGCACCAGGATTGGGAGGCACATCAACCCATTGATTTTCATGGAGGACTTGAAGCCCACCAATCTGGTCTTGTAGAAGAACAGTAAGGAAGCCACTGTCAGCATGGTTGGTAGTGCCAAAAGTCAATTCTGGTTCAGGGCATGCTGGGTAGTAATGGCCAAGGAGCAAAAGCCCCTCGGCACAATTCATATCCTTCAGGTGATGGGAGTTAAGCCCAAGAGACTCAGAGAGCAATTCAAACAGAGTAAGCCCCAAGTTCATTATATGCTTGGAGTAATCGATCATAATATCTCTGCAAGATAAACAGATATTTCTAATGAAGAAATTACTTTCTAACAGTAGTTGCACATATGGCCATGAGACTGCATTGCATAAAAAGAGTAAACCATCGGACAAGTTCATATAAGGAAGACAAGAAAGATACACGGTAGGGGTTCAAAATTTATCTGTCGTTGGCCATGCTTTCTTTCTCAGTCAACGATTTCATCATTCTTTGGAATGATGTGTCACATTAGTCTGGTGAAATTTTAAGTTTCACTGTTTGCATGACTGAAATTAATAAGTTGTCAATCAAATGATTCAGCATCCCCAATATAAAATCATGAAAGAATAAAAATATCAATAGGATTTCATTATGCTAGTAGGAAACTTCTTATGAATAGGACATTCTTAGCACATGGTCGTATAACATGTAGGGAAATCTAATTAGTAAATTAAGCCAATGCGAATTCTGTAACAAAATGATTCAGTACTAATCTGTAAGTACCCACAAAAGGAGAGAGTTCACAGTCCCTAAACGCGCAATATATTTAAAGATTACAAGCTCTTGGTAACATTACCTGCACACTGCTGGCAATTCTTTTGGGTTAGGGGGATTAGGAGCCATAGAGCAATAAACAGTGTCTCTCCAGTTAGCTGCCGGTGCAGTATGCAAGTCAAAATTGCATTGATACACCACAGTTTTTGTTGCATCTCGTGTATACCACTGTTTCTTCACCTCAGTATCTTGCTCATTGAACCTACGTACACCCTCCATCATCTCCTCCAAAATACTTACTGGAATGCCATGATTGATCACTTGGAAGAAACCCCATGTCTCTGATGCTTCTCTGACTTGGTCAACTATCTCCTTGCGCCGGATTGGATCTTCATCGATGCCATTGAGATCTATGGTTGGGAAACCGAATTGGGTTTTGCATGAATTGTCAAATTTAGCTGGTGGATGAATGAATATTCGAGGAACATTGGTAACTCCAGCATCAACTAGTCCTTTAACACCAGCTTTTGTGTCATCAAAAGCTTTCAATTCACTTGTTCGGTCATAGTTCAGATCACTTGCAGCTTCAACTTCACCTGTGCTGGTGACCTCCATTTTTCGTATTTTGCTGAAGTATTTTTTAAATTTGATAACAGAAAATTAATTTAACAATTAGAATTTAGGCAAGAAAGATGGTTGTATAAAAGGGGAAAGTGATGCCTTGTTGACTTTTAAGAATGATAAATTCAGTGAACCATAGCCACCTTCACTGATCGATGTTAAAAGAAAGAGACAAGCAACAAAAATTATTGACTTCAAAAATCAATATACTGCCCCACCGCGCGAGACCCACAAGATCTAAGGGTTGAACTTGCAGAGTCATAACAGCAACAACTGTACAACTCAATTTTTTTTTTTGGAAAACATGAGCCACAAAAAATATAAATAAATAAAGAATGATGGGGACAAAATCTCCATTAATATTGCTGTTATAGAAATGTCCATAATTATTTTAGTTTAGCATTCTGATCCAATAGGTCTTAGATAAGTTAGTATACGAATAAAGTTTGCTTTACTGCATAGTACTGCAGACTATTTTGTACCTTTGACAATAGCAAGGCAACATTGTCTGAAAGTGTCAATGCTTCAATATGAAGTTTATATCCTCCATGCTAAAAAAAAAAATGGGATTCTACATGTTTACATGTTTTATCTGTGCTATATAAGAAAACAAGCTACAAATTTGTCCCTCATAATAAATTGAAAATAGAGATATTCAACAGGTAAGACGAGCTGAAAAAATAAAAAATAAAAACAGGTAAGAACATAACTGTTTTTTGATGGAAGTTTCAACTTTTGGGTGATAGGTCAAAGATTCGTTTTGTTAGTGCGTGGGAAAGACCCAAGGCTCGTATCGTTCTATAAAGTTAAGCCCACTGCTTATGAATTCTGATACAGACAATGTCCAACACATGGCTGAATTAGTGGGGCTGTTATATGGGCTTGATGTTCTAACTTGCCCAAGATTTAAGCCCCAACTCTGCTGCCTTCCAACTACACATGACCAGCGTAACGCCTTTTCTGATGGGTCTATCACAAAGCAGGCCCAATGGTCGTTGGGTTGCTGAAAGTGGTTTTTGATTAACAGTATATCTGACCAAAATCACAAGGAAACTAATACTCCAGTCCACACAAGATGGCACCCAAGCCAGGCCCAAGTAACAAGTGAAGGTTCAAGGGAAGCTGACCTCAGAATCTCCATGGGCCTAATTATGCAACTTGAAATGTGATAGTGCAGAGGTTCCATCAAGTCCTTTCTGCAAGTAGTGTGCGATGAACTCATTTACAGTAGTCTCCCTGTAGATTGAGGGGTTTTCTTCTGATAGCAACTCCCCGATTGGTTCATACACTCTGGATGTAAACCCTTTTGGAAGATGTGTTCTGAAAAACTTGCAACTGAAATTCTAGGGCCAATTTTTTTTGCCAATACTCTGTGATCGACACTTCTTAACTTGTCATTGGTAATGAGTGCACAAACACAAACATGAAAATAAATAAGAAAATCTGGTTAGTCATAATTGTTATTGACAATGTGAATATGTGCTTTTAAGTTTTTTCTTAGGTAAGACAATTGTATTAGAAGAGAGCAGTAGTAAAAATGACGACAATTTGAAAATAATGGATTACTTCATATATGAAGCATAGGCCAACAGTATGCTCCATACTACTATCTGAACATGCAAGTTTCTAGCTTGAAACGTGTCTAAGAATCCAAATGATACGGAGGATTGCACAGTAATACTTAGCAGATAGTCTTAAGTACCATTATACAAAGCCTAGAATTAATGCATTCGGTCTCACACTTAAAAGACCAATTCACAACAGTTAGGAGACAGCAGACTTTTGAGTTCTTAGAAATTAAGTCTTAAACCATCAAGTGATTCCCCATTTAGAGTATTCTAATGTGATTTTCTGTAACTATGCCTTTGAAAAAGAAAAAAGAAAAGGCAAGAAGAAGATCAAGTAATGTGGTATGTCAACATTAGTATAACATAGACTTGCCTGTAGAAGATCTGCAATATTTACTATGAGAGCTCCAGGTATTGGAGGTACATCAACCCATTGATTTTCATGGAGGACTTGAAGCCCACCCATTTGGTCTTGTAGAAGTATAGTAAGAAAGCCACTGTCAAAATGGATGGTAGTGCCAAAAGTCAATTCTGGTTCAGGGCATGCTGGGTAGTAATGGCCAGGGAGCAAATCCCCCTCAGCACAATTCATATCTTTCAGGTGATCAGAGTTAAGCCCAAGAGACTCAGACAGCAATTCAAACGGAGTAATCGCCAATTTCTTCACATGGTTGGAGTAATTGATCATTATATCTCTGCAGGTTAAACAGATATTTCTAATGACGAATTTTTTCCTGGCAGTAGATGCACATATGACTCTGAGACAGCATTGCATTAAAAAAGTAAGAAGAAAAGGCCTTCTCTTTAAATGCTGTATGTATCAATATTCAGTTCAGAATGTTTATGCAAATGGTGGTCAGACATTACACAGAGAGTGGTGGAAGGCCATCAGAAAAGTTCATATAGAACAATCTTGAGGACAAACATAAAGAAAAGCTACTAAAACTAGTATGGTTGGAAATTAGAATAATTTTTGCTTCCTGCAGAACTCTTTTTTTTTTTTTTTTTTTTTTTCCTCTTCGTCGCTGGGGTTGGTACGCTCATCCAAACACACTGCAATGGTGAATTTTTTTCTTCTACTAATCTAGTTCTTGAGTAGAAAACTTATTGATGGTTGTACATAACTAATGTTGTTCTACATGTTTAGAGGAAGTATATAAACGAGCTCCAACCAGAACCTAATAAATCCTGAAAATGTAGCATCACAAACCATTGAGTCCTTTTTCATTTTGGCATAGAAAACGAAATGAAAAACATTGGGGTAACGGATGTGATTAATTGCATGACCAAAGGTAGGTATGCTAGGCTAATTTACTATTTAAGTTTGTCAAACAACCTGCGCACCACAGGCAGTTCTCGGGGGTCTGGTGGATGAGCAAGCAACAGGTATCCCTCCAGTTAGCTGCCCTTGATTGATGCAGATCAAAATTACAAAAATAAGTACACATTCTCGTAAAATTACAAGAACAGAACTGTTTCTTCACCTCAGTGTCCTGCTCATGAAACCTACGTATACCATCAATCATTTCATCCATAACACTTTATGGAATTCCATGATTAACCACATAAAAGAAAACCCACTCTTCACAAGCATCTCAAATTTTGCCGATGATTTCACCACATAAAGCTGCATCTTTGTCAATGCCTTTGAAGTCGATCACTTTCATACTAAAGTTGGAGCTACCAGAACCTGACTCATCATTGTTAAGCAGATTTTGGTGATCCACAAATATATATGGTATTTTCACCACCCCAGCATCTACGGGTCCCTTCACACCAGTTTTTGTATCATCAAAAGCTTTTAGTACACTTCTTTGGTCATAGTTGATGGGCTTGATTCCTGGCAGAATTTCAGAATGGTTTGTTACCACCATTTTCTGTTCTCTAGGAAGAAGATATATAATCTATGGGTATGGAATTAAACTGTTTGTGAAAAATGAAAACACCATTTTCATTCTTATATATGAAGATAAAAAAGATACGAGGTAGAGGTTTTTATTTTCTCTGTGCATGACCATGCTTTCTTTCTCAGTCAACAATTACATTGTTCTTTGGAATGACGTGTCATGGTAGTTCAGTGAAAAATGATAAGCCTGTTAGGACTTGGGAGTTCTCTAAAGTGAGTTAATCCCTATGCTCCGTTTTCCTTTATTCTTTTTGAAACTTCCATACCAGCTGTAAGGCATAATTTCATTTCATTATGCTCCTAGGGAACTTCTTATGAGTAGGACATTCCTAGTACATGTACCATAACATATGTGGAAATCTAATTAGTAAAACCAATGTGAATTCTGTAACAAAATGATCTTGACCATCAATTACAAAATGATTCAGGTATAAATCTATAAGTAACCACAAAAGGAGAGAATTCACACTCCATAAATGTGCAATATGATTAAAGATTACATGCTCTTGGTAAAATTACCTGCACACTGTGGGTAAATCTTCGGGATTGGGAGGATTAGGAGCCATAAAGCAATTAAAAGTATCCCTCCAGTTAGCTGCCGGTGCAGTATACAAATCAAAATTGCTTTGAACTACCAGAGTTTTTGTGGCATCTCTTGTATACCACTGTTTCTTCACCTCAGTATCTTGCTCATTGAACCCACGTACACCCTCCATCATCTCCTCCAAAACACTTACTGGGATGCCATGGTTGATCACTTGGAAGAAACCCCATGTCTCTGATGCATCTCTGACTTGGTCAACTATCTCCTTGTGCTGGATTGGATCTTTATCTTTATCGACGCCATTGAGATCTATGATTGGGAAACTGAATTGGGTCTTGCTAGAGTTGCAGGATTTTTCAGAATTCTCTGTTGGATGAATGAATATCCGAGGGATATTGGTAACTCCAGCATCAACAAGACCTTTAACACCAGCTTTTGTGTCATCAAAAGCTTTCAATTCGATAGTTCGATCATAGTTCAGATCACTTGCAGCTTGAACTTGACATGTGCTATTGACCACCATTTTCTTATTTTGCTGAAAATAATAATTTTAAAATTAGAATTTAGGCAACAAAGATGATTATATATAAGAAGGGAAAGAGATGCCTTGTTAACTTTTTCAAGAATGAAGAGATTCCAGTGAAACATCAAATAATTAATAGGAAAAATTAGGTTTTAGTGACCAAACCTATATAAAATTGACCATAAAATAAAATCAAAATTAAATTTAAATGCGTATAAGTGACCATTTGACCTTTTTTTTTTTTTTTTTTCTACATAAAATGTAATTAGGACAAATCTACCCTTCTCTCTCTCTAGCCCAACACTTCCCCTCCCTCCCTCTAAATTCGTCAATCAAATGCCACAACTTCTCTTCACGGTTGATTCAGACTATATTTACGTCTGAAAATTCATATATTTAAGTTTTATAATGACACGATATAAAGATATCAGAACTATATATGCCTACCCAAAACTATATAGGCTGAATTTAAACCCTTACACAACATTTAGCTTACTTGCTATACTGCTGACAGTATCTCTGGATCTGCCACCGGAGATAAACCCTATGCCGTCGATGATACCCTTTGACCTCGCAGTTATCCGCCTCGGAGACGCACAGGGGATCCGACTCACCAGGAAATTGAAACACCCTTTCTGAAGTCGGCCTGGAATTTCCGGCAGGAACGACGAAATGTGATCTATCGGGGTTTCCGAGAGCAGTGGCTGGTCGGAGTCCCAGAAAACGGTCGTGAAATGGAGGAAATTGCTCCAACCCCAAAGCGATATTGAGGGTTCGTCCATGACTGTTTGAGAAGGTGTCCATTTTTTTAGGGTTTGGATGATGATGGTAGTGGTGGTGCTGTGGTGGTGCTTGCACTGTTATAACCCTAACCTTACACTGGTGAAGTAACCGTGGCTCAGAGAGAGAGGTACCGGCCTCACACCCAGGGACACGCACGCATAGGTCATTTGATTTTAGATTACAAATAAGGTTTGTAATTGTCCGTATAAACTTGCATATATATATATATATATATATATATATTTTCGCGTTATAAACTTGTACTTGGTTGAAAGATTAGTAAGGAATTTTTTACTTTAAAAATAAAAATTAAAAAAGAAAAAATATTGTGGTTCGGAATTAAATCGAATATTTTACTATTAGGTTTGATTAGGTTTCATGTCCTAATGGTTCGGGTTTTAATTTTTTTAATAATAATTAAAATTGGTTTGATTTCTATTTAGTTTAAAACATACCGAAATACCTCTAACAATTATCACGGATTATTTTATTTGAAAAACTCATATTGATAAGTGCAAGAATGAAATAAAATAAAATATTGATTCCAACCGTAATGGTTTGAGAGTGAAAAAAATAAAAATAAATAGCAGACCACAGAGTCTAGGATATTGTTTTTACTTCATAGCATGTTTTCATTGTGTGTTGTGAAGAAGATGAAAATGGGAATCTATGAGATCCAGATATATAAACTATTACTGTATGTTAAATCGGTCTTGATTGGGCCATTATTTTGTCCAATATTCTCATCATCCCATAATTACTATTTTTCCAAATGCAAATTGAAGAATGATTACCTTAACACAGGTACTTAATATTTTTGTGTCAACCATGTTCTACAAAGTCTTAAAAATTAACACTTCCAACATGTTTATGGACATCAAAACATTAATAATAAATTGGTCCTTCATAAAAAATTGAAAATAGAGATTTTCATCAGGTAAGATGAGTTCTATGAACTAAAATAAAAAGAGAGAGAACTGAAAAAACATGAATCCTACCTCTTTAATGTGATCCCATGAGACTTGAATACCATAAATTAAAGTAAAACTAATGTCTGAGGAATAGTGAAGAAGAATTAGAGGGAAAAATACTTGAAATTACAAAACTGGATTGCAAAACAAATGTGGGAACAAAAAAACTGATATTTGTGTTTTCCTTTCCAAATCTTCATCTGAAGTTACTCTTAACTCACACTTCCAGGACTGCCTTACACCATATTCCTTCATCACCCAAAATTAATCACCACAATAGTAGTCAAGCTCTTAATATCCGCACATATAACAGTAATACATGAAGAGTCTCGATTTTCATATCATTGATATGCATGCTTGGATATGCTACATTTTTTTTTTGGACACCTTGTAGATCACGAGTGAAGGTTCAAGGGAAATGGTTTTTTTTTTTTAATTAATATATGACCTCAGAATCTCCATGGGCCTAATTATGCAACTTGAAATGTGATAGTGCAGAGGTTCCATCAAGTCCTTTCTGCAAGTAGTGTGCGAAGAACTCATTTGCAGTAGTCTCCCTGTAGATCGAGGGGTTTTCTTCCGATAGCAACTCCTTGATTGGTCCATAAACTCTCGACGTAAAACCTTTTGGAAGATATGTTCTGAAAAAGCTTGCAACTGAAATTCTAGGGCCATTTTTTTTTGCCAGTACTCTGTGATTGACACTTTTGAACTTGTCATTAGTAATGAGCTGCACAAACACAAACATGAAAATAAATAAGACAATCTGGTTCGTCACAAATGTTATTGATACTGTGATTATGTGCTTAAAGTTTTTTCTTGGATAAGAAAATTGTATTTGAAGCGTGCACTAGTAAAAATGATAACAACTTGAAATGAACGAATTACTTCAGAGTTCAGATATGAAGCATAGTGCAACAATATGCTCCACACTATCTGAACAAGCAAGTTTCTAGCTTGAAGCATGTATAAGAATCCAAATGATTCAGAGGATTGCACTGTGATACTTGGCAGATACTCAAGTGCCTAGAGTAAATGCATTCAGAAAGTCTGGTTAGTACTTTGATAAAGACTTGCCTGTAGAAGATCTGCAATATTCACTATGAGAGCTCCAGGTATGGGAGGTACATCAACCCATTGATTTTCATGATGGACTTGAAGCCCGCCAATTTGGTCTTGTAGAAGTACAGTAAGGAAGCCACTGTCAGTATGGTTGGTGGTGCCAAAAGTCAATTCTGGTTCAGGGCATGCTGGGTAGTAATGGCCAAGGAGCATAAGCCCCTCAGCACAATTCATATCCTTCAGGTGATCAGAGTTAAGCCCAAGAGACTCCGAGAGCAATTCAAACAGAGTAAGCCCCAATTTCTTTATATGCTTGGAGTAATCGATCATTATATCTCTGCAAGATAAACAGATATTTCTAATGAAGTATGTATCAATAATCAGTAAAGAATAGGGTTCATACATTATAGAGACAGTGAACAAAAAGGTGAGACAAGCAGTGGATGGCCATTGGACAAGTTCATATAAGGAAGATACAAGGTAGAGGATCAAAATCTATCTGTGATTGACCATGTTTTCTTTCTCAGTCCATAATTTCATCTTTCTTTGGAATGATGTGTCAGTGAAAAAATGATAAGCCTCGGTAAAAGATTACATGCTCTTGGTAACATTACCTGCACACTGCTGGCAAATCTTCTGGATTGGGAGGATTAGGTGCCATAAAACAATTAAAAGTGTCCCTCCAGTTAGCTGCCGGTGCAGTATACAAATCAAAATTGCTTTGATACACCACAGTTTTTGTGGCATCTCTTGTATACCACTGTTTCTTCACCTCAGTATCTTGCTAATTGAACCTACGTACACCCTCCACCATCTCCTCCAAAACACTAACTGGGATGCCATGGTTGATCACTTGGAAGAAACCCCATGTCTCTGATGCATCTCTAACTTGATCAACTATCTCCTTGTGCCGGATTGGATCTTTATTGATGCCATTGAGATCTATGGTTGGGAAACTGAATTGAGTTTTGCATGAATTGTCAGAATTAGATGGTGGATGAATGAATATCCGAGGGACACTGGTAACCCCAGCATCAACAAGTCCTTTAACACCAGCTTTTGTGTCATCAAAAGCTTTCAATTCACTTGTTCGGTCATACTTCAGATCACTTGTGCTGGTGACCACCATTTCTCTTATTTTGCTGAAGTATTTCTGAAAATTGGTACAAAAAGAATTATTTTTACAATTAGGATTTAGGCAAGAAAGATAGTTATACGTGTGTGTGTGTGTGAAACCAATCTTTCCCGATAAGGATGGGTGCAAGAATCAGTGAGCCACTAATTATTTTTGCTGGAAAACATCACCACAAAAAATCTATAAAAACAAACAAGCAAAAAAACAAAACAAATAAAGAATGACAGGGACAAAACCTCCACAATTATTTTAGTTTAGTATTTCTACTACAGTAAGTCTTAGATGACTTCATATCCACCAGTCCAGTAAATCATGGATGAGTTCATATCCAGAAAAAGAATTAGTTACATTCGACAAATGCAATACAAACATTGTCTAATCAGTATTATTGTTCTGTCATAGTTCATATCACTTGCAGCTTGAACTTTATCACCACCATTTTTCTTATTTTGCTGAAGTATTTTCCGAAATAAAGAGATAATCAAAAGCCAACCTTTCCAAACAAGGATGGCTCACGACCAGTGAGTGACCCACTATTTATCTTTCCTAGAAGACATGAACCGCAAAGAAATAAACAAATAAAGATTGACAAGGACAAAACCTCCTCAATTTTTTTATTTTAGTATTTCAAATCCAATAAGTCTTAGATGAGTTCACATCCAGAGGAAGTTTGGTTTACCTTTTGAGAATTGAAAATACACATTATCTAGTCCGTGACCGAGGCCCTTTTTGGCCAAATTCTATTGTTTTGGGCAATATTTCAGAATTCTTATTGGAGGTCTAAATGAATTCGGATTGATTTAAAATTTGATAGTTATCTTTATTTAGTCTTTTATTTTTTTTTTTTCTTCCAAAGATTATGTTTCTTGAATCATTTGCTTCCTTTGCTCCATGGTACTCTAGATTTACAAGCAAGCATTATACTGAAGCTCATAATATCAGTACATGTAACAGTAATACATAAAAGGTCTCGACATCTATATCATTGACACACACGCTAAGCTATGCTAATTCTGAATTTTGTTGATACGTATTATACCACAAGTTAAGGTTCAATGGAAAGGGATAAGTTTTTAATCATATGGTCCATAACTCAAACCATGAGCCAGCAAAGATGACCCTAGAATCTCCATAGGCAATGTTTAAGTTTTTCATATGTGTGTGTGTGTGTGTGTGAGAGAGAGAGAGAGAGAGAGGTGTAATTCAAAAAAAAAATATATATAAATAAATAAATTTCAAACAAAATGGGTGGGACCCACTATCAAGTGGTCTCATGACCACTATTGTTGGTCTCTCTCTCTCTCTGCTTCCATTTTCTTTTTCTTTTGCTTTACAACTTTGAAGCTTGATTTTTCTTTCGATACTTAGTGATTTTGAGTGCCGTTTACGACAAAACGGAGAGTACGGCGAGCTCTACACGTGTGTATCAGCAATTTTAGTTTTGAACAACCTAGGGAGTCCGAAAATCTTGACCCATTTTGAGGGTTTGAAGTGAAAATTGGGAGTTTTGCATATAATAGAGATAGGGGTCTCTAATTCCTACAATCTTGTTTCTTTGTGAATTAATTGTTTTTGATTAGTGTCCTAGCATGCTAAATTGTGATGATTGTTCCTTTGTGAATTAATTTTTCTTGATTAGTATCCTATTAGTATTCTAGCATGCTATATTGTGATAATTGTTCCTTAAAGTGACTTGATTGTATATATGAAATATATGAGAAGGTGTATTTAATTGAATTATAATGTGTATTTAATTGAATTGTATAAAAAAAATAATAATAATAATAATATAATAAAATAAAAACATGCTTAATGTGTTAGTTTTTCATGCCAATTAATTTATCAGAAATTTATGTGAAAGCTTATTAATTGTGCATTAAAAATTCTCTCCATTTTCATATATGCACATAAGCATTGGGTATGAAAGAAAAGGGAAAGTGTTTTGAAATGAAATTAAAAGGGGATTTTGGGGAGAATTTGATAAAATGGTTTTTTTTTTTAGAAAAACCCGGTCGCCGCGGAGTCACCAAAGGGCAGGTGTGT